CAGGAATGGCTGAAAAGCCATGTTTGAGGATAAAAGAAGATTCTCACAAGTGGACCTGGGCAGTCATAAGATACTGGGGTGTCGATATTGGCAAAGCTTCTATCTCAGATCTCTGAGATAGTACCAGGTGTCTATAAAACCAGGACAGTAGGAAAAAGAATCTACAACTTATAACATCAATATTCCTGTTTTAGAATAACTTCAGTTTATAGGGAACCCCTGACCTCAATTTAACCTTTATAGCCTTCAGAAGATTTTAGACATTGTTGTTGTTTTTGAGGGAAGTAGGAAAAGAGATGCCCAAAAAGGTGGTTTCAACCCACCTCGTGTTTTCCTTACACCCTGTTCTGCTCACAGCAAAGACCAGAGCTGCCCTTCTGATACCTTGCTTATTTCAATATATTAACTCTATCAACCTGTTTGGTGGAACTCGCCCTTCGCCTCCAGGGTCCCCCAGTTTAAAGACTTTGTGCCATACTGTCTGTCATAACTGATTTTGTTACTGCAGCTCACTCTTTCAATTATAAGCCAGGTTCTATTTAGGGAGAATAGCTACTATATAGACAAGGAGTAGACTTTTTAATTGAATGCATTTCTATATATTTTAGTTATGCAAAATATCGCCACAAGACATCTTGGATTCAGATTGCCACCTACTTCTTACTATGCCAGTGCCTTCTACCGGGTGAAGAGAGAAGAGATGCAGACAATACCACACACTATCTTTAAGCCCATTAGAAATGATGATAAACGATACATAGTCATTTTTTCTTTGCTATTATTTTATAAAATTCTTTTACTTTATGCCAAATTTGGAGAAAATGCAATTCCAGGTGAGAAATGCTAAATATATGAGCTGATAACCTAGAATAGTATCAGTTGCCAGAATCTTTAAAAGTTGTTTTTGTTTTTTTTTTTTTTCTGAATATACCTCAGATCTTGGTCAGTTCTGATACATAGAATTTGCATTATAAAATAGTACACCAATGTTTTAAGTTAAAATTAAGATTTAGAAATACTAGTGCAAACTTTTGGTAAATGGTGACTGGCCACAGGGCACATCCATTGTGAAAAGCGTACCCCTCCAGGCAGTTCTGGTTATTGTGACATACTTTCTCACTTAGCGCCAAACAACCTCTCTTTAATTGCCATCTTCTAGTATTGTTTTGACTTTTGTAGCAGCTCAAAAAAGGCTATACCCCCTGCTCCATACAAGAGCTCTTTAATTAGAGGGATTGTGTTCTGTCTTTCCCAGTGAGACACACTCACTTAAAATAATTTTTTTTCCCGTGGGCCTCCTTAGGGTCTGGGTTGACATTCTCTGGACAAAGTATGCATTATTAATATATATTTTTAGAAGGTGGAGGCAATGCCATGACATTATAGACCAATTGTGGCTTGACCCTGATAAGGCGAGGTAGGCCAGGTAGCCCTCGGAAACTATGTATCTGTAATAGGGTTTAGGGAGAATTAGCTTTTCCAAGAAACTATAGGACATTTCTGGTTATTGATCCAGAAATGGAAGATACTTTTTCCATGAAGTCAAGTCAGATCTATAAGTCTGAAGCCCTTTCTCCGTCCCCTCTTTCCTCCTCTCTTTCTCCTTCCATCCCTCCCTCTCTCCGTGTCTTCCTCCTTACCTGCCATTCCATAGACAAATATTTCTTGGGCATTTATATGCCAGGCACTGTTCTAGGTTTTAGGGATACAGTGCAAAACAGTATTCCAGTTATCATAGTATGGAAGGTGGTGGTGGAGACAGTTGCAAGTTTTTTTTTTTTTTTTTTTTTTTTTTTGGCTGCGCTAGGTCTTAGTTGTGGCACATGGGATCTTCGTTGCTGCGTGCAGGATCTTCGTTGTGGCGTGCAGGATCTTTTAGTTGTGGCATGCAGAATCTTTAGTTGCGGCATGCGGGATCTTTAGTTGTGACATGCGAACTCTTAGTCGCGGCATTTGGCGGTACGTGGGCCTCTCACTGTTGTGGCCTCTCCCGTTGCGGAGCACAGGCTCCGGATGCACAGGCTCAGCGGCCACGGCTCACGGGCCCAGCCGCTCCACGGCATGTGGGATCTTCCCGGACCGGGGCACGACCCCGTGGCCCCTGCATCGGCAGGCGGACTCTCAACCACTGCGCCACCAGGGAAGCCCGCAAGTTTTTTTTTAAATTTATATATATCAGGCAGTGATAAATATTATGATAAGTACATAGAAGAATAAAGCAGAATGAGCTGGTAGAGAGTGATGGTGGATTAGGAGTGGTCTTAACTGTAGAGACAAAGCCAGGACAGAGGATGTGGTGCTAGGGGTGTGAGTGTGCAGCCAGGGATGGCTTACCAGGGTAACTGAGGAAATATTATGGGAGATGAAGGAGGGAACCATGCTGAGAACTGCGGGAAGAGCACTCCAGGCAGATGGCACAGCAAGTGCAAGGGCCCAGAGGCAGGAAGGTTCACGTTACAGAAGGAGGTCATCTGGGCCAGAGCTGAATGAGTGCAGGAAAGAGCCCTGGTCAGAGAGGTTGAGGCAGGAGGGGATCTAGAGGGATGTGGTATCCATCATATCTGTGTCATTTGTTTTCATCTAGTCAGCAAAGTTAATCTTTTATTTTACTATTATTGTTGTTGTTGTTGTTAAGTGGTTCCAGCTTCTGACAGGAAAAGAGAGAGAAAGCAAGATAAGAAGAGTATTTGGGTGCTGAGTGCTAGAATATGACAAATTTATTAGCCAGGTCTAGAATTCGTGGGTACTGTCTTTGTCGCTCAAAATGCTGTAGATATGTTTCATTATATTCTAATTTTTATATAGCAGTTTTAGTCTTATGAAATATGTCCTGAGGAAAAACACTGATTCGAGGCTACTTGGTCAAAGGACACAAATATTTTATGACAATTAATATACTTTGTTAAGTTGGTTTATCAAATTATTGTTCCAATTTAAGGTTTCATTTTAACCCAATTTAATTAGCAATTATATCTCTTCTTGTGTAAATGGCATGCCATTATTTTAATATATTTTTTAAAGCAAATAAACATATTGCCATATGTTAACTATGTTTCTTTTTGTGTGAATTGCATCTCCATGTCTTTTGTGTGTGATGCATTCAAAAGAACTTCTCTGGTATAGTGTAAATCACACTTAGATTTGAATTTCTACTTCGCCGCTCTTCATCTGGGTGAACTTTTAAAAAAATAACTTTTAAAAGGCTCAAATGTAAAATGGGGAGAAAATCTACCAAACCTAAGGTATGCAATAGGATGAAAATTTATATTCTTATATTCATTTCTAGAACACCAAAAATAAACTTTTTAAAAGCAGAGAGAATTAATGAAAAGAAATTAATGGCCCTCAATTTAAAATACAGGCTTGATTAATAATGAAAAAGGTATTTTCTTAAATAGCTCAATAAAATAGGCTGTGTTTGGCAATCTATTCAAGAAATAAGAAAATAACAAATATTAAGGAATGCGAAAGGAAAGATAACTATAGTACAGGCAACAGGGCAATTATTAATAATTTAATAAGGAATAGTAGATACTAATGCATTTGAAAAATTAAATGTAATGGGAAATTTTAAGGAAATTATAAATTATTAAAATTGACTGAAAAAGAGTTAAGAAACCTAAATATATTGTTAACCAATGAAAAAAACTGAAAAGTTAGTAAAAGACCCCCTAAAATGGCATGATACCCAAAAGCTTTTACTGGATAATTGCACCAAACATAAAAAAGGAGAAAATTCCTCCATAATATAAAGTGTGTATTTCCAAAGCTAAGAAAATAACTTATCTCACTCAAGACAGAATTTTATTCCTAAAACAAAAATTAGAGCATTATACAAAATAGAAA